TTCCTAGTGACAACCACATAAAAGCTGTAATTTTAGTTCTCTACAGGAATTTGACACAGCTGACAAGTCTGCTTACCTCATTAAAAGGATCTACCAGGAATGCAGTAGTTACCTAACACAGTTAAAGATAGCTTTTGCTTTTAATCTTTACAGGGGTACCAGCAATGTAAGTTCTGTATCTTCTGTATCTTCTGTATGAATTATGTGGCTAAAAAAAGAGCCATCAGCCTTTTCAAGCTCTGGTATGAAGAGCTCATCCTCTTTAGCAGAAGATATCAGACAAAATGTAAAGCAGAGAATGGGAAAAACAGGACAACAGCACAACTCAACAGTGAGCTGATCCGGCAAAAGCCATCCCAGAAACATAATGCACCACATCGTAACAGCTTCCTGAAAACCACAGGATTTTAAGGCAAAAAGAGAGTCAGTCAACCAAGCATATGTTCTCCAATGTCTAAAGTTGCTTTGTTGCTGAAACTCCTCCTGCCACTATCCTGGGTTTGCACGGCAAGAACAGGAAACGCTGGTCTTTGGCAAGTTTTCAACTTCTATCACTCTCTTGTTTAATACCTCTCTCACCTAACACATGCAAAGGCTCCTCAGAGCATGTTCACAACCTTTGGAAAAGAGATGTGATCGTGATAACACTGCCTCAAAATTACTTTAGGAATTTCATTGTCTTTAAGCACACATATAAATAAGTACTGCAAAACGGGTTTATACAAGTATTTCAGAGCTAAGTATTAACTATATCCATGTTAAACTTTGCCTACCCAGACAAATGGTCTTAGTGAAGGTTAATACTGCAGTGTCCTAAGAGCACTGATATCACAATATTCTAGCAAGATTTACATTAACAAGGAAAACAGCTTTATTGCTTTATTTTATTGACACTATGAATTCATCTTGAATACCTCATTAGATTAAAACTAAATTAGCACATCAGGAAGGGACCCGTCTCTCAGGTGAAGGGTAATTTTCCAAGACAGTGGGTAAGCACCGCATTGAGACTTCACTCTGAAACTCAGTGAAACCAGCCCCAGCCACCTGACTCGATCAGAACACACTAGAAGGCATCACGATAAACCTGCTACCACATGTTTTACTATGCTCTTATTACAGAGCTATTCTAGGAGTGCTGCATAGGCCAGGGATTTATTCTGTAGACTTTGAACAGGACTGGTAACCCTTCGGCAGCCTGCAGAACACGGGTGCAAAGCTGAGCTGCAGAACATTTAAGAGTAGATTACAGACGTGTCACAGAAGCTGGTTCTGATTACTGCACCTATTGAGAAGGTATCATTCCATATTAACCCCCAAAGCTCTACTTGTGTGACTAACTCGCATTACAAATAGTAAATTATTAAACAAAAACTTGTCAGCAGAGGCAGGCTGAGCTTTTCTTCTTTTAGTGTCCTTCAAAGCAGTACTTGTGTTCCATAACTGCTCCCCATCAGGAATAGCTGTGGAGACTGCTACTGAGCCCATACAGCTATAAGACTGAAAAAAACAAACGGCTTCTTAAAGTCACAGCCAGCACAGAGGAACTGCTAACAGCAGTCATCTAGGAAGCCAAACCCCAATTAAGAAACTATAAAGTTATTAGTTAGAGAGATAACATGATCATGCCATCACAAAATAAGACTTTTAGAAAGAGTAACTAACTGGCTGAGCTACCTAGAACAGGCCACAGCCGTTGTGTTTCAGATATTTCTCCTCCTAGATAGGTTACATTATAAACTAAAAATTGTCTAAAAGTGAAACAGAAGCTCAGCCACCGCATTACCGCCGGTTCCCAGCCGCTCTGTGATTCCTCCCCCCGGGACACCCCGTCCCCCCGGGGCCCAGGCCAG